CATTTTTATGGTACTAATATATCATCTCCTATTGCTTTTTTGAGCCGAGGGTCTCCTGGAAACAGCCTCTCTACCCTTCGGGGTAGGGGTAAGGTCTGCGTACATATTACCTTCCCCAGACCCCACTTGTGGGATTATACTGGGTCATTGTTGTTGTTGTTGTTGTAGATCTTGGAAAACATACAACAACATACCGAGTGTAATTTCACAAGTCGGATCTGGGGAGAGTAGTGAGTATGCAACCTTACCCCTACCTTGTGCGGGTAAAGAGAAAAATGTATTGACTAAAAAATATTCTGCAGCATTGAGTAGCTTATGGTCATGTTTATTTCGTTGTCAGTCTCAGAGAATACTTCTATGAGTTTGTGATAGATTAGATGTTGCATAGTATCCATTCTTCAGTATTTGCCTGAGGATAACCTATCTAAGTACTTCTTGTTAACAACTGTTTTGACAAGAAAGGAAAGACTAAGAGATAGTATTCCAAAAGCAATGTTTTACTGTCAATGTGTTGTAATAACTTAGAATTTTCTAGGTATTGTAAAAGGTGGATGTCCATTCTTAATATGATAAAGATCAATAAGTTATTTTCTTCTTTGTAGTTGATTAGTCGATTACTGAAAAGGTCATGGCCTTTGGTATTCTGAAAGATCACTAAACTCACTGAAGGGTCATGGCCTTTTGGTATTCTCAAAAGTCACTAACTCCTTGTTTTGTTGAAAAGTTACCCTAACTCTTGAAGAAATGAAGAGCCACTTGACCTTTGAATCCGAGAGAAATAAAGAGTTACTTGACTTTTGGCTCTTAGAGAAATGAATAGCCACCTGGCTCGTGACCTTTCTAAAAGGGCAAGTCACTTGCCTATAAATGAGGATCTGACTCCTCTCCAGTTTTGGTTGTCTCTGTTTCTCAAAGTTCTTGCTGGAATGGATAACACATATTACATATTAATATTGGTTTAGATTTAATTAACTTAAATTGAATCTTAACTATAGTTAAGATATTAAATATTTCCATAATTATTGCAGCAATTTTGGATGATCATTAACTAATATTTTCTTAATAACATAATATTAGCAATTAAGCCATCCAAATGTAAAGAACTTGTTTTCTGCCTTCATTTTTTTTACCACTGAACCAGAATCATTCCTTGCTATATCAATTCACAAAACTAAGCTAATTACAGCTTTTCATAAAAATCAGGGAAGGTGGAAATATGTAAGCAATCAATGACAATGGATTTATCATTTCTTCTATCGTCGCCATATTTTCCATTGTATAAAGTAGTTTTTGATTCCATGCCACATGGTGGATCAATTTCTATTGCTAATCTAGAAATTCATATTAATTTCCTCGGAACTTATTTGCGTCCTTGGCAAAGATTTTAACCAATTTTTGAAAAGTTGAACTTGTTTATATATGAATATAAAAATCTGTCATATTATAAAGAAAATAGTTTTGAATTATATAAGTTTGTTGTTTTTCTGTCTACAGTATTACCTATAGCTAGATTACTTGTTAGTTTAAAATCCTATACATATTAGTTAATGATATTAAGCTGCCATAAATGTGGGATTGCCAAATCTTAGGGAGCAAATATATTGAAATATTTATAATTCTAACTATGGTTAAGACCCAACTTTAATTAAGTAAATCTAAATTATTGCTATTAACATTTGGCATGCGTCACACATCCAAGTAAGAACTTGAGGAAATGGAGCCGACAAGAAATGGAGAGGAGACATATCCTATAAATAGGATCCTTTTATAAAATGAATGAAGCAAGATAGTTTAAGAGCTTTTCTTAATAAAAGTCTTATCTTCCTTTACTAGATAAAAAAAGAGCGTATCTTAATAAAAATCTTGTCTTCCTCTTCTTCTCTTCTCCTACAATCTTCTTAAGTATTCGTCTTTGTCCACCATAGTTGTATCAGAATCATGGAAAACAATGATTCACTCTCTTTTCAATTTCCTTGTCTCACATAAGAAACTTATGAAAAATAGCGTCTACGAAAGAAAGTCATTTTTGGCTTGAAAGATGTGTAGGAGATTGTAGATTGAGGGTATGTAAAACCCGCAATGAGGAAGTTTTGCCTCAAATTGAAAAAGATGCTTTGGCAAAGATGATGAAGAAGGATCAGTAAGTCCTCATACTCATTCACCAATACTTGGATGATCCGATTGAGAAGGTGACAGATGCAACCACCTCAAGGGAAACTTGAGAGGTTTTACAAAATCCTCTCGAAGGAGTTGATAAAGTGGAGAAAGTAAATCTTCAAACTCTACAAGTGGATTTTGAAGCTCCAAAAACAAGTAATCCAAATCCATTTTGGATTATTGTTCAAAAATGAAGGTTGTGAAATAATTAAAAAGGTATGAGGAGAAATAGAAGATGTCAATGTGGTAGAAAAGTTCCTTGGCTTTTTAATTTAACACCTTCGCTCTTTAACATAAATTTGATTATGTGGTATGAGCGATTGAGAAGTCTAAAGACTTACACTTAGACTCATGCAATTAGAGACAAAGCCTCTCAAGTTTGAAAAGGAAATCCAAAATGAAGGGGGACAAAATTATGTTGGACAAAGAGGAATACATAGGAAGATTATAGGAGAGAAGGAAGAAGACATTTACTAGGGGAGAATCTCTTAAACTTTCTTGCTTTATTCATTTAATACAAAAGTTCCTATTTATAGGCAAATGACTTGCTCTTTTAGAAGGGTCAAAAGCCAATTGGCTCTTCATTTCTTCGAGAGTCAAAGGTCAAGCGGCTCTTCATTTCTATAAGAGTCAAAGATCAAGTTGCTCTTCATTTCTTCAAGGGTTAAGTTGACCTCTCAACAAAACAAAGGATCTAGTGACTTTTGATAATACCTAAGGACTATGACCTTTCAGTGATCGACTAACCAACTGCAGAGAGAAAGATAACTTACTAAACCTAACCACTAAAGGTGAACATCCACATTTTCCAACAATTAGAAAGTTTTAAATTATATTTACAACGCAACATAAACTTCATCTTCAAGATAACCATGGTAATAAAGATATCTTGCTCGTTTGTCTTCATGTTGACGATATTATTTTCACGGGCAATAACCTAAGTTTGTTAGAAGTCTTCAAAAAAGTTATGTCCTTTGAGTTCGAGATGATAAACATATGGCTCATGTCATACTACTTGGGCTTAAAAATGAAGCAAATGGAGAAAGAGGTTTTTATTTCTCAAGAAAAATATTCAAAGGAGGTCTTGAAGAAGTTCAATGATTGCAAACCCTTTGAATACACCAATGGAGAATGGAACAAAGTTGTCAAAGTTTGATAATGGAGAAAAAGTAGATTCCACTCTTTTCAAAAGCCTTGTGGGAAACTTAAGATACTTGGCTTGTTGGAGTAATAAGTTTCTTCATGGAAGCTCCCATCTCTGCTCACTTGAGAGTTTCTAGAAGAACTTTTCATTACCTAAAAAGTATGATCGACTCTGGGCTATTTTCTTCTTCTTCTTCTAGTAACTTAACTTTGTAGGATTTTGCGGTAGTGATTTTGTGGGAGATATTGATGATAGAAAAAGCACCATCGTCTTTGTATTTTTTTTGGGTAATTGTGTATTTCTTTGAGCTCAAAGAAACAATCTATTGTTACTCTCTCAACTTGTAAATTTGAATATGTGGCATCAACATCTTGTACATGTCCTGTTAGTCAGCCGAGAAGAAAGTTGAAGGAGCTCAACTTGCCATAAATTTAAGCAGAAAATTTGTATTGACAACAAATCCGTACAACACTTGCCAAGAATCCGGTTATATTATGATCGAAACAAACATATAGGCACAATGTATCACTTTATTAGAGAATGTATTGCCAAAAGTGTATCAGTGGGCACTCCCTTTTTGTTGTAACTTTTGCTATGCATCTTTCTGATGCCATAATAAATTTGCCTTACTTCATAAAAAAAGAGAGAATATATTTGCCAAAAAGAGAAAATCACAACATGAAATATGCGACCAAATCTAAGTTTGGCATTTGGAAAAAGAATGGAAAAATATTATGGGACTTAAATGGTAATGGACAACGCAATGATAATTGTTCAAACTTCCTTGTGTGTTCGCTTGTTAAACTTTCTCCAAATTCCATAACTTGTCCTATATCAGTTAAAAGATGGCATAGGATGACATTTGTCTATAGCTGTCAACATTGGCCATATTTTGAGGTATTTTGGGTTTGATTGTGCTACTGGAATTAAATGGACAACGCGTACCTTAGGAAAAAGATGGGGGACTCACAAGTATAAGGTTAGACATGAGCATTTCTACTTTAATAAAGTAAAGAAGAGGTATTTGCTAATCTTTGTTAATATCTGGATTTTGTTGCATCACTATAAGCAAGGGAAGATTAAGAACCGTTCTTTCTAGGAAATCAACTCACTTTATTCATATCTAATGATATCTAGTATTTACTTATATCATGTTTGATTATTATATGGCATAACGTTTACAAAACACATGAAATTTTATGAAGCTTAAAGTCTCGCATGCTGGTGGTAGTAAGAGGAATGCAAGTAGAGATCGTCAAATGGTGAGTTTCGTTATCGTGGATTATATTTAGGGAATCATTGTATTGTAGCAAATGAAGTGTGTTGCATTTGACACTTGTTAGTTTCATAATATTTTATTAATGATTTTAGCAGCAAAAATTGGGAAAGGCATGTCTGTTGAAGTGAAGATTTTAGCTGCAAGTTAATTATCTTTCTTTAATTTATATTGTAGTGTTGTACAATTATATTGTTCTATTAACTACTTCATTAATCATTGATTAAAGATTGTTACTAACTTCAATGTTTGGAGCTTTTTAATTTTTTCTAATTTATTGATCAGACTTATAGCCCGTTTGGCCAAGTTTCTAAAATCAGCTTATTTTGAGAAGTGTTTTTCTCAAAAGTATTTTTTTAAAAAGTGCTTTTGGTGAGAAGCAGTTTGTGTTTGGCTAATTAATTTGAAAAACACTTTTGAGCAGTAATTAGTGTTTGGCCAAGCTTTTGAAAACTGCTTTTAAGTGTATTTTTCTCAAAAGTGCTTCTCAGAAAAGTGTTTTTGGAGAGAGACTACTTTTTTCCGCTTTTCCAAAACTGCTTCTGCTTCTCAAACACTTTTTTTCCTTCCAAAAGCTTGGCCAAACACTTCAATTTTTTGCCAAAAGTGCTTTTGGCAAAAAAAAAAAAGCACTTTTGGCCCAAAAAAAAGCTTGGCCAAACAGGCTATTACTATCGTTACCCAATGTGCAAAATTTCTAATCACTGTTTCAATTTTAATTGCTGAATACGGATATCAAAAAACCATTAGTGCCAAAAAAAGACTAGTCTATTGTCTAGTTACCAAACTAGATAGTAGATGTATTGACTGTTTAATACATAATGTACTTTCCCTTTCTACTCCCCCAAAAAAATTAGTCTATTGTCTGAAAATGTTACTTCAGAAAAATATACAATCTGGGAGTGAAGGAGACTTAACTAATGCACTCCCTTTATTCTGACAGTAAGCATCAACTAGTGTACGCACTCTTTAGATAGCGAGCTGCAATTTACTAGATGAAAAGTATGCTCTTTCAAATGTTTTGCCACTTTTTAGACCATTAATTTAATGTCTGCAAACCGTTTAATTAATTAGTAATGCTAGTTCCAGAAAGAAATTGATGACTGATGTATGCTTCAATTATGTTATCTTATCTGAAACAAAAGGAAGTCCTTTTTGCTGCATTCAGCCCAGTTGTTTTGGCAAATTGCCATCCATATCAGGGTGAGCTCAATCTCTTTATTGAGGTGTGGATTTTCTTTTTTTTTTTTGGGTGGTGAAAAATGGCTCAAGGAGATAGTTAGCATTTGAAGCAAACATAATTATCTATGAGATGGTAGGCCAAAAGAAGGAAATTATGAGGTGGGTGTAACAAGGATCATAAGATAGGTCACTTTGTTGGTTTGTTGTAGGTATTGTCAATAGTTCGGAGGGATACTTATTCGAAACGTTAAAAAACTGTTTGATTTGATTCTATAAATGATGAAGTATCATGATATTTATATAGTTGCTTGAGTACAAGTCTAGCTTCTTGTTAGGATAATATGCTTGCTGCTTCAATGGTGGTCACATCTCACTGAGGTTAATATAGATTTGTTTACTTCACTGAGATCTAAACTTTAATACCGGAAAGATGTCAACTCTGCCTGTTGTGGTAATGCAAAATTCTATATTTGCTATAGTTATATCAGCCTCCTCGAGTATCATATATACGTTTAAGTATATAGTTTCTCATATTTAAGTTGTCTTTGAGCTTTGAGAGACATGTCTGTTGATATTCATGCATTCATGCATTCATGCCTTATAGCTCAAACTAGCTGGATAACTTCTTGGAGGCATACTTCAACCACAATCTGTTTTCTGGTCTTTTTTGATTTGGTGCGCCAATCTGATGAATCAATTGCTCTGCAGCAAACGATTTTAATGATCTTGCTTTCTAGGATGTTGAAAAAGAATGATAAGTCTTGCATGTATTCGAGTGTTGTAGCCAACAAGCAGGTGTGTTCTTTGATGGCTCGTCATAAAGTACATGTTTTCTTGATTTCTCATTTGGGACTTAGTTTAAGGTCATCACAAACATATATGCAAGATGCACCGTATAACCTGCAACCTGCCGCATAAAACTTGTTTAAACCGGCATAGACCCGCAACCTGCCCCACATCAATTTTTAAAAATATTATTTTAACCTGCCCTACACCCTCCCCACCCCGCATAACTTTAAACCCACCCTGCCCTGCATAGCCTTAAAACCGCACTGCATCCGCACCGCCCTATTTGTCATCCATCTTGGTCGTAATTTAAATTATTGGTTTTATCCAGAAATATTTTTTCCAGTCAACACCGTATGAAATGAACTGGATAGAGGTGCTTTAAAATTTGTCATTTGTTTTTCTGATTGCTTGTGGTCATTGTAAATTTGTAATTACTGCTTCTTTGACTTTTTCACTACTGCATTTCTTTCTCCATACTGTTGTGATTATGCATGCTTGCTTTGAGCCAAGGGTCTATTGGAAACAACATCTCTGCCTGCACAAGGTAGGGGTATGGTTGTGTACTTTCTATCCTCCCAGACCCCGCTTGTGGGATTATACTTGGGTATGTTGTTATAACCACCATGTTTTACTTTGTAGGATAGAATATTAGAGCACCTACCTCAAGGCCAAGAACGTGTTGCTATTTTAGGTGTTTCATCAAAGATATTGACTCATCGTAATGTGAATTTTGGTATTGGGAAAGTATTAGGGGTTAAGCATTCCATTAGTCATGTGAATTTTGGTGGCTCTTTTAATAATGTGTCTTAACAATGTGTTGAAGGCCTAGAGAAGCATGTAACCCTGGAAGAGAAAATGACTGGATATTTGGAGACATAGAAGGGCAGCCCGGTGCACTAAGCTCACGCTCTGTCGGGGTCCGGGAAAGGGTCAGACCACAAGGGTCTAGGAATTTGTCAATTTTGGTAACAACTGGTGCAAACGTGGAATCAAATAGCAGCTCTTTATAAGCTTTAGAAGCTAAATTTTTCTCCTCCCAAAAAAGAAAAAAAGAAAAACAAAAGAAGGTTTTTAGAAGCTAAATATGGTTGTGAGTTTTTCTTAGTCTTGTATGCTTAGCATAATCTTGAACCGTGACGTGATGTTTTCTCTTATTATTTTAATTAGATAGGAGATGATTAGCAGAAGGAATTAAATGGAAGTTACACGAAGATGTACCAACGAGAATAACAAAGTTAGGACGAAGTCACATAAATAGAATTGATTTGGCAGAGGAAGAATGAACTAATAAATCTATAACCATTTCGGGTCCATTTGCCTTGGCCATTTGAGTATATCTGAATCCTTTGTTTGTCATTATGGTAAACGGTACTGGCTTGTGGATTATTTCTTTTGAAAGACAGTTCTTTGCCCTTTAATTTTGTGAAGATAAAAAATTAATTTCTACCTAAAATTAGTACTAGTAATGATATATTTAAGGATTTTTAACATCATTGGCAAAATAAGCTTAAGATCTTTACGGGGACGTGTCCTTGCATCACGCATACGAAAATGATAAGTTTTATCTATCTGAATTTGAAATGGTAGAATTGCATTTGGCATATTTTAATTGTTGTTTCAACGAGTTGATATTCTACATTTATATACTATTAATTAATAATTCTACTATATAAAAAGGGGAATATGTATAAGCATACAAGAGGTCAACTTGTGTGCTTGCTGTCATTATAGTTACTTTTCAGGGCATATTTGTCATCTTAATCAAATTGCTTCATTGGTTGCTTAATTGTTCAAAAATTGAACAATCTTATTGGTCGAAAAATTACTTTACTATAGCTGCCGTTAAAACTTTTGAGCCAACTGACCAATTTACCCCTTTGTCCTACCATTTCATGGACCCCACTTTCTATGGTAATAGACAGGGGTGGGCATATTTCGGTCGGAACCGAATAAACCGACCGAGTCGATTTTTTTTTTTATTTCGGTTTCGGTTATTCGATTTGTTCGGTCGGTTTCGGTTTAAAATTTTAAAATTTCGGTTTTTCGGTTATTAAGTTTTTTAGTTCAGTTAACCGAAAAACCGAATTATTAACATATATGTTCTTTAAGTTATATATAGGCTAAGCCCATAGGTAATAAATTAATACTATTAGGTCCAATCTATCAAAGACTCAACCCAATTAAGTAAGTCCATCAACTTTCCAATCTTAAAGACTTTCAGTCTATTAAAACTTCCATAGCATATGTGATAGATACCGGGAGAATTTCACACAGAGTTGTAATTTACACTATGTTTGAATTTTATGATCCATAAAGTGTGCAAAGTTTAGTCTATTTTTTTTCTCTATAAACACAATATTTCCAACAATTTCGAAGTTTTGGGAAAAATCAACAAATTCACCGATCGTATTATTACATAGAAGGAGTCCAATATGATAATGTTCAAACCGAAAACCGAACCGAAACAGCCGAACCAAAATTAGAATAACCGAACTTATTTCAGTTCGGTTTCGGTTACTATTTTTACAAAACCGAAAACCGAATAACCGAACCGAACCGAACCGACCGAATGTCCACCCCTAGTAATAGATGGCCCAAGCTATTCTATTATAGCCAGGGAACTGTAGGATGAAATTATAACTTGATCTGAGCAGCCAAAGGGATTAATAAATTATTAAAAATAACTAAACTTACAAAAACCCACAAAAAGATAGTTCAATACTCAGATTTTTCAAATAGAATAAAAAACTTTTTCAAGTAAAGTGTGAAGGATTGCATATAGATGTTCATAACACGCATCGGAAGACAATAACAACATGTCAATAGATTGGATCTAAGATGTACCTGGCGAAGAAAGTGTCGTTTCAAATTCTTCGATAGTGCGAAGACTCTATGCGTATCCACACCGAGACTGACCCTTGCTATCAACTCTTTGAATAATGAAACACGCGAACAAATTGATTGAAAAACTTGTGCTGAAACTTTTCTCAAAAATCTCAACTCAAATTAGAAGAACAAGAAACACTTTTCTTGTAATTGTATTCTCTCTTGGCTTTGTATTGCAATTTTACTTTCAAAAAATGTTTTTTCTTTTTAAGAAAATTATGCGGCAAATTTTCTCCATCACCCTTTTTATATCATCACCTATAAACTCTTTTCCTATTTGGTTGAGGTAATGGTTTACTTCAGGTAAAAATTTATTCAAAAATAAACTTCATGGAATTTCTATGGAAATTTCGAATTCCCACTTATTTGGTAACGTGAGGACTGCCGAAACTTTATAGACTTTGCATATCCAATTCTAAATTGGATTCTAATTTATAAACTTTTTATATTAATAACTTTCTAATTGAAAATTACAAATCCTATAAGTAAGCAGCTTGCCGTATCGTTTAACAATCCAATTCCAAATTGGATTTCATGGTTAAGTCTTTAAATAATATTTGTATATATCCTATATATAAAAATATCAATTATGACGATTAGATACATTCTACTATCTAATAAAGCGGCATAAGCACACAACAGGTCAACATGCCTGCTTGTATGCTTGAGGGCATAATTGTCTTTTCGGTTTCATTTTGTGTGACACGTGCTATCTCTGATTTTTCCATTTCTGCCACATTTTAGCAGAGGTACAGCTGCCGCTATGCAAAGCCCAAAGTCACGGAATTCCGAAGAAGGTCCACACTACTATTGTTTCTCGATTTTGATTACTTTCTTAACTCATCTCCTATTTTCCTCAAATCTCTCTTCCGATCTTTTCTACTATCTAATAAAGCGGCATAAGCACACAACAGGTCAACATGCCTGCCTGTACGCTTGAGGGTATAATTGTCTTTTCGGTTTCATTTTGTGTGACACGTGCTATCTCTGATTGTTCCATTTCTGCCACGTTTTAGCAGAGGTACAGCTGCCGCTATGCAAAGCCCAAAGCCACGGAATTCCGAAGAAGGTCCACCCTACTACTGTTTCTCGATTTTGATTACTTTCTTAACTCATCTCCTATTTTCCTCAAATCTCTCTTCCGATCTTCCTCTTACGGCTCAATTTCTGCGTTTCCCGGACATAGTTATCAGGTTAGTTATGTTTTACCTGGAATTTCGATTCTTTTTACCCAACTTTTGTGTACTTCCCTGATAATAAGGGTCTTAATCCAAATGTCAACAATAAAGTATGTTTTTACCTGGAATTTCGATTCTTTTTACCCCAACTTTTGTGTACTTCCCTGATAATAAAGGTCTTATATGTGTTTGACATTTTATAATACCATTGTTTTCATTTGGCAATTAGTGTTGAATTGAACAAGCGAAAGATGGAGTATTCCAACCAAATATTGGGTAGAGGAAATAGGATAACCAAGGATTCTTGACCGGGATAATTTTTTTTGGGTATAACCACTTCTGAAAATTGTACCCACGAGATAATTCCCAGCTTTGTTCTAGAAATTCCATTTTTGGCTGAACGAGTCTTTAGCCATTCTCCTCAACAAGAGATATGCTTATATGATACAAGTTTAAGCACGTTTTTTTTTGTGATTTTAGCTACTATAACTGTTGATAGCCATTACCTGTGGAATTGTTTTTTAAATTTTTTATAATAGAGTACTCGTTATAAAGGTTAACATTTAGTCTTGCCCATGAAATTACATTTGCATCTTCTGTCACCTTTTTAACCATAAAATATAATATGTGTTTTTCAAACATATCATGAAGTACTGCTGCTACAAATATCTATAGGTATAAAAGGAACTTAAACTTGCATAACAGATGGATTCGAAAAAAACAGATGACTTTCTACATGGAGAAAAAAAGAAGGCTGCAATGCAACTCAAACGTCGCGATACTTACAACCAAATATCTCCTGTTAGAAGGGATGCGTTATTGTTATCACGGCGTATGAGAAAACAAGACACTGCAAGGCATAACCTTGCTGAAAATGCAGATGTTGCTGTCTCGGAGCAGCCAACATCATCTTTATACAAAGTAGGATTCCAAAACAAACTGCGCTTGCCATACGAGAACCTCATGCTCTTCTTGAAAAAGGTTATAATGTTGTACTCATTGTACCATACATATTGATAAAGTAGTCTTTTTTTTTCTCCTTAGTAGAATGTGTTTGACACCTTAGTTGTCTTACATGTGTGTATCAATAAAACATTGGTAATATTCTGTGCTCTTATGCTCTATTTTTCTGTAAGTAAAGGTTTAGTGTACACATTTAAAGCTCTTGCCTATTTCTCTAACAGCTGCTAGCCATCAACTTTGTGCAACTACATCCCGCGATAATATGGAAAAAGGAAAAGATATATGCAATCCTCTTGTCATTCACGAAATAGGTAAGCTTACCCTTTATATTTTTTTTCCCAGCGTGCCATAATGGTTGCACATTACTGTTATCTCTGACTGCTTGCATATAAGGATGCAGATCGGGTACATCTGACCACTGTGTTTTGACCTTAAGCACAGTTCCAACTAAAGGTTTGCACAAACTATGTCTTATAAATAATTTCTACAATTAGTGTGCCTTACAACTCCCTTTTCTTCTAATGGTAGTTCTTCAACATTTAGGTCATACATTGTAACGATCCGACCGGTCGTTTTGAGCTTTTGCACCTTGCTCGTCAGTTCTCGGGCATGACTTGCCCCATGTGAAGGATTATGACTTATGTAAATCGTTGGTTTTGATTTTTAGGGTAATCAGAACGAATTTGGAAGAACAGTTCTTAGTTTAAAGATTAAAATTTGAAAGGTTTGACCAAGATTTGACTTGTTGGTATATGATCTCGGATCAGAATTTTTATGATTTGGTTAGCTCCGTTAGGATATTTGTGACTTAGGAGCGTGATCGGAATACATTTTGGAAGTCCGTGGAAGGTTTAGGCTTGAATTAGCGAAATTGAGATTTTGGCATTTTGCGGTTAATAGGTGAGATTTTGATATAGGGGTCAGAATGGAATTCTGGAAGTTGCAGTAGCTTCGTTGTGTCATTTGCGATGTGTGTGCAAAATTTCAAGTCATTCGGACGTGGTTTGGTCGGGTTTTTGATCAAAAGCGTAATTCAGAAGATTTTGAAATTCTTAGGCTTGAATTCGATGCAAATTTGGTGTTTTAATGTTGTTTTGAGTGTTCCGAAGGCTGGAACAAGTTTCAATGATGTTAGGGGATGTGTTGGAATGTTTGGTTGAGGTCCCGAGGGCCTCAGGTGAGTTTCGGGTGATCAATTGGGCCATTTCATGTTTTTAAACTTGCAGAAAACTGCTGAAGGATTTCAGGAAATTTGACCTTCGCGTTCGCGAGGAGGTCCTCGCGTTCGCGAGTAGGTCCTCGCGTTCGCGAAGGGTTAGCTGATGAGGTTGAGGAATTAGCTTTCGCGTTTGTGATGAAGGCTTCGCATTCGCGAAGGGCTAGAGCCTTGTGCATCACGTTCGCGTAGAGTAATTTGATCAGCTGAGCTTGAGGCATTTTATTCATCGCGTTCGCGAGTAGTGTAACGCGATCGCGAAGGTTTAGTCCGAGGAAGCATCGCGTTAGTGATGGGAAGGTCGCGATCGCGAAGAGGAAATTCTGGTCAAGGTTATTTTGTGCTTCGCGAACGCGAGGCTTTGATCGCGTTTGCGAAGAAGGAAATTTTATCTAGGGCAGAATGTTTAAAAATGAGTTTCGCGAGCTTTGGTCTATTTTCTCCATTGTTGAGCGATTTTTGGAGCTTTTGAGAAAGATTGAAAAGGGAATCGAAGGGTAACACTTGGAGGTAAGATTTTTGAACTCTATACTCGATCCTATGTTGATTCCTATTTGTTTAATCATGAAATATGTGGAAATTACCTAAAATTGGGGAATTAGGGCTTGTAATTGGAGACTTAGAAATTAGGATTTGAGGGGCCATTTGAGGTCCCATTTTGATGTTCTTGGTATGTATAGACTCGCGAGAGGATGAGAATTTTACCGATGTGACTTTTATCGGATTCCGAGACGTGGGCCCGGGGGGCGGGTTTGAGCAATTTCGAGATTTTTGATATAAATTGGATATTTTCGAGTGGGCTTTGTTCCCTTAGCATATTTTAATAGTTATGTACTGATTGTGGCTAGATTTGGATCAACCGGAGGTCGATTCGTGCGGGCAAGGCATCGCAGGCTTGAGTTCGGACCAGATCGAGGTGCGTAATGATTGTAAATGATGTTCTGAGGGTTTGAAACCCCGAATTGCATATCGTAGTGCTATATTGATGTGAGACACATGCTTGATGACGAGCGTGAGGTCGTGCACTATTGGGGATTGTGACTTGGTCCATCCCGATAGATGATCTTACCGCGTATTTGACTGAAATCTATTTACTATCATCATTATTTGGGCGGAATGCTATATTTGGGCTTCGTGCCAACTATTTGAACCCTTCGGAGATTTTTTTTATGTTTCCTCACTGTTTTGATTTTATGCTTAAACTCAATCATGTTATTTTCCACTGTTTTCAAAACGCAGCCATGTTTACTTTGCTTTAACACTTGAAATAATATTTCAAATAATATTTTGGGTGAGCATCATGTTTTATTGTTGTCCGAGTGGCTTATGTGATTTTGACTGAGTAAGGCCGAGGGCCTCTGTTGTGAGGATATCTTTTGGGTCGGGCTGCACGCCGCAGTAGTGATACACAGATTTTGATTATGAGGCCGAGGGCCTGAGATATGTACGTCACGAGGTGGCTTGTTAATATGAGGCCGAGAGCCTAGAGATGATTCCACGAGATGGCTTGATATTGCGCTTGGGCCATAAGGGGCCCCTCCAGGAGTCTACATACCCCCAGTGAGCGCGGGTACCCATTGTGATGTGAGATATAGCCCGAGGGGCTGGTATTGCTCTACGTGATTGCCCAAAGGGCTTGTATTGTTCTGAGATATTCCTCGAGGGGCGGATTTGTTGACATTGTGCCCGAGGGGCGAACCTTATGTGCTTATCTTTCTTATTTGCCTGTCATGTACTCGTTAATTTGTGTATTTGTGCCAGAAGGGCAGATTTCTATGCTTATCTGCACTAGTTGTTTTGCATTCATTTGCGCAACTGTTGAAAAAGTCATTTTCAAAGAAGTTTAAACTGAGCTAAGATATTTAAAGAGATTTTACAGCTTCATTGCTTTCTTACTGGTTTTTGAACTGCTTCTATACAACATGTTGATGCACTTTTCGTGATTTCTGAACATTCAAACTTTAGTTATGATTGTTACACACTGAGTTGGAGTACTCACTTTACTCCCTGCACCTTGTGTGCAGATTAAGTATTTTTAAACTCGGTAGCGGGTATTGGCTGATCAGAGGCCGAGTCATTGGAGTTTAGCAAGGTAGCTGCCGGCATTCGCAACACTGCTTTTCTCCCTCTTGATGTCCTTGGACTATATTTAGCCTATTTCAGAACTTAGTTGTATTTTAGACCTAAGTAGATGCTCGTAACTTGTGACACCCTGTTATCGGGCTGTGTTTGCGCTGTATTCCGCACATTATAAAATCTTTTGCTTAGTCTTTGGCTTATTTACTCATGCTTAGACTGTTTATAGATGTTTAACTGTTTTAAATATTGAACTGAGACTAGTTGGCTGGCCTTGTCTTCACGAGAGGCGCCATCACGACCGGGTCCGGGTTTAGGGTCGTGACAAGTTGGTATCAGAGCCTAGGTTACATAGGTCTCACGAGGCATGGACAGGTTTAGTAGAGTCTCACGGATCAGTATGGAGGCGTCTGTATTTATCCTCGGGAAGCTGCGGAACATTTAGGAAAACTTCACATTCTTGAATTCTTATCATGCACCCTTGGTTAAGCTTGAAAAGTAACTCTTTGAATTCCTCCACGCGTTCGTATGCGCGCATGAGCGCTTAGTATCAGATGTGCATCGATGGCTTGTGATTCCCTGATCGAGGGGCAAGATGTGATCTCTGTGAGTTGATGTTGGGCCAGTCTGGAGGACTTGAGGCCGGAATTTGCCTATAGCTTGAGCACCGAGGTGCTGATTGTGCGAGCAAGTGTTTTTGAACTTATATGGTTGGTATTGTCCCTATTAGTGGAAGTGACGGCTGGATGGCTATGTGATGAGTATGTTAGTACTGCGAGATGTATCCATATGATTGGAAGTGACGAGAAGGGTCTGCTGGAGGATAGAAGAAGTATTATGCGTTTGATTTCCATCTTGATTCGAGGTATAGTCCCGAGTTATGGGCGTGTGAAGAATCTTTTCATGTTTCCCAAATGGGAGTGAAGTAAATTTCATGTTGTGCTATGAGTTCAGACTCAGGAAGACTAAGTGACTGTGTAAAGTTTATGACCGTGGAAGGTATGCGGAAAGGTTAGTTCGAGGCAAAGCAGGTGGGTTATCTCCTGCGGAGTGTTCGGAAGTTTGTGCGATCTTTATGTTGTCTGATAGAAGATCCCATTTGCAAGTGAAAGATATATGCTGTAATTTAAATTGGGTCGCTTAAGAGAGTGGGTTTAACTGTTGCGAGAGTGAATGCGAGATTTGCAGAAGATTTAATGTACCTGATGATCTGTGTTTTCCCAAGCTTACGAAGGATTTGAGTTTAATCTCACTATGGTATTATGGCAGCAATAAAGTATATGCGTTATGAGTTATTGAGTGCGTTTTGATCTATGGCTTCGAACCAAGTAGGGGAGTCTGCTATTGATTAGTTGATTGCACGGTTATGTGCTATGTTGGTCCCAGTTCGAGGGGTTCGGGTAAATCACTTATGGCATATGAATATTGAGACCGAGGATGGCTTGAGTAAAGCAAAATTCTTAACAAAGGATATAGTATGTTTCATAGGTGTGTGAGAATCACGGAATGTCTTGAATTGTTGTTGGTAAAGGATGCTCGGTGCATAGAGCAGGAAGTTGATTGGTTGTAATAGAATGGTGTCACATTCTGCGGTGTCAAGTGCTAATAAGGCATGGGTTGTTCGGTTCGTTTGATCAGGCTAATTGCAGTTTGAGTAGAATGGATGACTCTCAAGAATGGTTCTAATAGGTTCAAGATTTTTCATCTAACAATTGGGTATCTTCAAGTTGTATATGTGGATAGAAATTGAGTTTTTATTGGGAGATGTCAAGACTAGTGGTATTTTCTATATTAATTATGGGATTCTATATATCAGTATCATGAAGATAAAGGTAATGGCTCTGGATTCGTAGGAAGTCTCTTCAGGGTAAGTATTTTGAACGCGATGCTGTTGGGACTATCAGCGGCTTAAGGACATAGGACAGTGTGGTTTTATACTTGGGTCTCGTGCGGTAAGTCTGGGTTGAGGAATTGTGATGTTATAGCAAGAAGGAGTATCAAGTTGAAGGTAAATCAGAAGGGAGCTCGAATAGATGGGACAGCTTGGTAGCAGTCCAGAACGATATGGTAAGGATATGATTAGTTCTTTAGATGCTTATGAGGTAATGAGTTTATATAGGTGTTTTGCGATAATGCTCTTGGGTTTTAGTGGGCTGCATAGCTTGGTTGAGTTAGAAGGATTCAGTTATGACGGTTTAGTTTTGTACGAATGGAATTCGACAAGTTCTTGATGATTCTACCACGGTTAGAGGTGTGCATTTTTCCACGGGCATGAAGAGCATGGGATGTATAGTGATTTTCTCCCAGCTGAGGCCCAATAGAAAAGTTCTTGGCTAGTTGAGTACGTAGTTGCGTGTGGCTCGGAATGAATATGAAGTTCTCATGTTTACCTTAGGATGGTATAGTATATGTGGTGTGTTGTGCAAGACTTAAATTTTCATGTGTAAGGTCACAGATCAGTTCTAAAAGGAAGGTCACAACTCTTAGGCAGCGGGCAATTTCAGACAATTAGAAAAATGAGCTTCAGATAATTAGATAAAGGGTCTTTGGAGGATTAAGGAAATGGTATTGCTAATTTGAAGTGATTTGACGAGGGTATATGTTTCAAAAAAGGCAATGTGATTAAGTTGATGGTACTTTGGTAGTATTACGACACTTTCTTGTTAGATCGATTGCAGATATTCGAGTTTGCTTGGTGGCACAGAAGAATATTAGAGTATCTCTCGTGGAATGATTGGATATTAGAGGTGTGGTATGTATTCGGACGGTGAAAATGGGATCGGATATGGTGATTCATGTGCCATATGGATTTGGAGATGGGGAGTTCTCATATTAAGACTATGTTGTGGTTGTGGGTCACGTGAATCAGCACTGCTTAGTGACTATTGGGGGTTTGGAGACCTGAGCGGATCTTTTGTTGCTTGGTATGTTAGATTTTGGATATGATATTGAATTCAGTCTGGTTGTCTCCGTGTTGTATCATTCTGGACTATTGCGCTAAGGCAGTGCTGGTGGCTATGCCGGAAATGCCACGGATTGAGTAGCGAGGTTCGACGGATTATGTCCTAGTAGAGTGGTTTTATATTTCGAAGACCCAGTGGACGGCTGGGAAGGATTGCCTTTCTTATTTGGGCTTTCTTGATGGATGTCAGTGTATAGACTCCTACCATTGATTCAGTTCCGGCGGTGAAGGACTTTTCGGATGTGTTTCTTGTGGTCGGGCATGTTACTGGGCAAGGTTATTGATTTTGGTATTGATTTAATGTCGGGCACCGTATCGTATGGCACTGGTAGAGTTAAATGAGTTGAAGGAGTAGCTTTAGGATTTCCTTGGTAAGGAGTTCGTTGGCAGGCCAATGTGGATGCGTGTTCTAACTTGAGTCGGCTTGGTTGACTCTGTATTGTATTGTTGAGGGATGTGTTGATTCGATTGTTATTGAGCTTATTAGTAATTTGGGGAGATCTATGAGTTACCTTTCTGTGTTGCGAGGTGTAATAATTTGTTGGTTACATGCACATATGGTGTGGTTCTATTGGGGTTTCATAGTGGAAGTCGAGCGGGAAGGGTATTTGGGTGTTGCTCGGTGAATGGCGTATCGGTTATGCCCTTTCGGGTTTGTGTGGTGTATGTTATTTGCTTCACCGTGGGTATGATGATTTTCTTTGGATCTAGATATCAGATTGCGTGTGGTTGTCGATTTCGAGCATAGTGACCTGAGGTGTTTCCTATGGAGCAGTGTTTGGATAAGATCGCACATCGCAGCGAAGTTATGTGGGGGTATGACTGTCACACCTCCTTTTTCCGCACCCGATGGGGTGCAAGGGAGTTTTTTCCAATTAAAGGACAATCGAAACGGGATTGGTTTAATTATTTCAGAGTCGCCACTTGGGAGATTTAGTGTGTCCCAAGTCACCAATTTTAATCCCGAATCGAGGAAAAGAGTGACTCCATATTACAGTTGTCACACCTCCTTTTTTCGCACCCGAGGGGCGCGGGGTTGTGTGTGTGTTGTGTTGTCGTGGTTGTGTGTGTGTATGTGTATGTGAAGGAGAAGAGGTGGGGGAAGGGCAGCCATGGATGGGGTGTTTGGATGCTTGA